CATGGGGGCACCGCATGTTCTTTCAATGTTCTAGTTGGCCAACCAGCGACCGGGGACGTGGGCCTACTTCGCTAGGATACTCTTTGTCGCGTTCTACGGGCTCAACATGCTCCGGATCAATCCGGCCACCGGATTTGAGAACAGGTTCCTCAATGTTGATGCCTTCGTCTCTGATAGCCTGAGGTGTGTCTCCACGAATGATCTCTGCCTACCTATACTATAGGAAGCAATTTGTTCATTCACTACACTCTGGTGCATGCTGCTAAGAAAAACAACTTTCCTACGTGTTGTTTTCTCCAGATCACCAAAGAACATGGCGTAGCTCGATCGATGGGAACGGTGTAACTATGAAGAAAATAACAATAAACTACTCAACAAAGTGGCAAGTGAAATGAAGAGCAAAGAACATACATTCTTCTTGTGTGCATGTGCACTATCCAAATGAGTATTACAAAACCAACCAATCCGGGCTGTTTTGTTCGGATGACACCTTTGTTCCGCCCTTTTTGTTGTCGTGTTTGCTTGTGTGTGTTGAAGACGATGCTGATGTTGCTACTCTTGCAACTTGTGGGTGGCCTGAAACAAGAAGGGCCGGAAGTGGAAGCCGCCAAGAGTTCTCAAACTGAAAGCGATTCGACCCACAAAGTGGGCTCTCCCCCAAAGATAGCAAAAGGTGGGTGGTCTGACTGTCTAAGGGCATGAAGTATGGTGGCATGTGGATATTATTGCCCCATGAAAAAAAGTAGCTCGAGGCTTCTATATTGATTTTTTTTTCTCCTCAACGTAAGCTACCACTAGTGGGCATAATCAAAGAATATAAAATAAAGGCTCACACCACACATGTATCTCTACTTCAACTTTTTTTAGTTTTATGCACTAGACCACACTTTCCCCCAAGCACCCACCTTCTGCAAAGGATCCCACTCAGGCAGCGAGGGTGAGGGGACGGAGATGCTGGTGGAGCGGGAGGCCTTGTCGGGTAGGACTCAGTCGTGCTACGGTTGGCCAACCAGTGGCCGGTGAGCGTGCGCCTACTTTGCCAAGATACTCTTCGTCATGCTCTGCGGCTCAACGTGCTCTGGGTCAATCCGGCCACCGGATTTGGCACAGGTTCCTTGACGCCGACGTCGTCTTCTCTGATAGGCCTTAGGTGCGTCTCCACGAATGATCTTTGTCTGCCTATACTATACGGAGCAATTTATTCATTCACTCCACTCTGGTGCATGCTGCTAAGAAAACAACTTTCCTGCATGTTGTTTTCTCCGGATCACCAAAGAACATGGCTTAGAGGTGCGTCTGTCACCGTATATCCACTGCCGGTTCATTTGTGTGCATTATATATAATTAAGTGTGTCAAAAACCATTACAGAACATCATAAATAAAGAAGTGACCAAATTAATAGAAGTTCATCATCATATTAAAACCAAAGTATAGTAGGGACCAAATATTATTACTGAAAAAATAAATACATAAAGTTCATACATAGTTCTCATTGAACAACATATAGCTCTCTAGAGCATCTAATTAAACCATACATTGAAACTATGTAAAACATTTAAATGCAACAACAAATGCGATCATAATCGCAACTAAGGTAACAATTGATCCAACGACATAATGATACCAAGCCTCAGTATGAATGACATTTTTCTAATCTTTTTAATCTTGAAGCGCATTGCATCCATCTTGATCTTGTGATCATCAACGGCATCCGCAACATGCAACTCCATTGCCATCTTCTCCTCCTCAATTATTTTCAATTTTTTTTCTTCAATTAATTGTTTTTTTTCAACTAAATTTAACCTCTCGACAAGAGGGTCGATTGGAATTTCCGGTTCACATACATCCTAGATAAAAACATCTATGTCATGTTGGTCGGCATAATTATCATAAATATTAAATGAAACAAATAGTTATAAAAGATAATATACCACATCTGAATCATAGACAGGACAAGGGCTGACGTGGGCGGATACTAAAACCATCGCACTATATAATAACAAACAATAATAAAAGTAAGAAAAATATACAAGTATCTACCTAAATCATACAAGTAAGCATTTTTTTAGAAAGAAGATAAGAACAAGAGGCTCACCACGGTGGTGCCGGCGACGAGATCGGCGCGGGCGATCGACGGCGGTGAGGACGGGGGCGGGACAGGATGGACCGTCAAATCTAGACATATCTTGAGGAAAATGGAGCTTGGACAAGGAGCTTCGAGAGGAGAAATCTTAAGTGTGGCTCGAGCATTTCATCGAACACCTCATGTGCATAGGAGGTGAGCTAGAGCACCACACACCTCTCCCACGGCCGGCCAAAAAAATAGAGCAGTGGCTCTGTTCAAGGGCAGGGGCGGGGGTATATATAGGCCTCTCTTTAGTCCCGGTTTATAGCTAAAACCGGGACTAAAGGACAACATTTGGTTCCGGTTTCAGCCACCAATCGGGACTAAAGGTGCTGGGCCAGGAGCGAGGCCCATTGGTCACGGTTCGTGTCTGGAACCGGGACCAAAAGTGTCAGACGAACCGGGACCAATGGGCCTTGAGGCCCAGCCGGCGTCCTAGCCTCACGAACTGGGACTGATGCCCCCTTTGATCATGGTTCGTGAGTGAACCGGGATTAATTCCCTTACCGAGGCTTCGACCAAAGCCCTGTTTCTACTAGTGATAGTGGCGGTTGTTGCCATGTGAAGGTCCTCGGAGACAGAGTATATAGTAAGTACTTTGTTTTCCGTTTGTGATTGTTGGGGTTGATACCATTTTATGCATGTTCTGGTTCTCAACCTCCAAATGAGTGCCTTCCTTCTGTGCTTCCAATGGAGGCTACCAGCGGCAGGAACGCTATGAGTCAGCCTGGACATTGCAGATGCAGAGGAGTTTTTCCGGGGGCAACCTACTCGTTCAAGCCGCGCTGATGTCAACTACCTCGAGCCACTATGACTGTCCCCAACCACGCTCGTCCCCTAATAAGTCATGTGTTTCTCCTACCAGATCAAAAAAATTGGTCGATATTTTGGAGTATAGTTGCGTATCAGATCTGCTCATGATTGAAATTGTGGTCTCCTAAACATGTGATTTGTGAAATGTTTAGGAACGAATTGTTTGTGGATCTGCAAAGTACATTGTCACATGCAGATTTGGACATTCTACTTAATTCTTTGCAGAAACTTGTAGTTCATTCTTGGTGAAATTCACTGTATCCATCCCCTCAGGTTGGTATTGGATTTGCTATTCGATATTCATACCCTTTTTCATTGCGACATTTGTCAGATTTTTGTACTTGAGATGATTTGGTGCAAGGTCTAGAGGAGGATGGTCGAGCATGGCTAAATATTATTTGCAAGTAGAGAAGTTCTCGGGTCACACATTAAAGGAAGAGAGATAAGCTTTTTCTCTTCTTTGTATCAAGTAATTTAACTTTCCAGTCCACTATATATTATTGTGTATTGTACGCAATCTGAAATAACCCCTTTTACAAAAAAAACATACTTGTGCAGTTGCGTGAGATCTATTTGGATGTGCTAATTGATGAAAGATATGTAGAATTAGTAATAGCCTTTTGATGTGTGGTCAAATATGTGATAATGAGTGCAATGTTGCTTTAGATAGATTTTTCATGACTTCAACTTGTGCCTTCCATCTCCTTGATCACGTGAGTTCATATATCAGTTTTTAATTTCTGCAACTAAATTCTGATACTGAAGTTAGTATATGCTTGGAATCTTTTTTTTTGCGGTTAGTATATGCTTGGAATCACAGGGTAAACTGTGTGTATCTTTTCTTTCATGACAGTATATGCTTCTGAAGTATATCTTCATTTATCTTAATTAGTTTAGATACGTGGCGGGGGGAATTCTACCCCAAGCTCATTGTGTCAGATAGTCAACCAAACGCACCACATCATGGTCGGAGATGAGAATGATCCCTCAAAGTGAGCTGGAGACAATGCGGCAAATCAGATTTTGCTGCAGTATATGGTTTCTCGGCAGTTTTAGTTTCCCCTAAAAAATGATACCAGTTTGTTTATGTTGAATACTATTTCAGTGTTGCGAGCCAACAATTATAATTTAGGATGTTTAGTGCATATGGGTCCTGAGTAGCTGTATTTCAGTTTAAAGAATATGTGGTCCTGGCCACTTGCGAAACAAATATTGCAGTTTAACACTTTTGCCAAAAGAAAAGTCCTTCGCCAAAATACTACAGATCCTCTACAGGCTCGTTAATTTTTCCTTTGCCTAAATATACTACGGACCATTATACATACTGATTGTCCGATATCTTTTTAGGTGAGAAGATAGATGACATGAGGGCTCAAGAGCTAGTATTGTTGGTGCTAATGTGTTGAGCAAATAGCTAAAAGAAGGATACACTATGCTTGATAAACGAAAGCCCGTGTGTTTGATTGTTCTCAGTGTGTACCGATCAAATGTATGACATCATTTTGACTGGTGTCTCGCTACATTTTTTTCTTGTCCCCTAGCAGTGCACTCACACCTCCTTTTGTGATTTTGTAGCGTAGCACGGACATCTTACTAGTACAAAGTAAAATTTGAGATGTTCTTCAAAGGTAATAAAAATATTATGAAAATAAAAGTTTCATACATTTTTCGAGTAACTATTCTAAAAACAAATGTTTCAAATTATGGTACAATGTATGAGGCACACTTTGTCATTGTCCTATAAAAGAAAAGTAAAAAAAACAAGTTAACCATATAAACCCAATCCCCACCCCTAGTTTAACTTCATAGTTCCAAGCAAGGTTCATACAAATTTACTTGTCATTGGTAATGGGAGAGTACAAAAATAAAGGCCAAGTTTTGAATTGTCAACAAAATATAAAGTTGGATGCAATTGTCCTCTCCTCCCACGTACTAATAAACGCTTGCTCTCCGTCATCCAGTAGTCAGTCTCTGCCCATGACCCTAGTGTGAGTGTCCAAAGAAGAGATGAAGGAAGATGAGACAACAAGCCACTGCAAACATAATGTGGTATAATAGGCATCAGAATGAGAACGCAAAGCATTTGGTAGTGATTATTCTCTCTTGCTCAATTGCTTCCTCTTGATGAATGCTACGCTTGGCACAGACCACACGGTTAATTCGCACCGGTTCCATGCTCTTGTCGTGCGTTTTCTTAATCTCGAACTTGACAGCGGTGATATATAGCTGATTCTTGGGGGGTCTATATCTAATCTGCAAACCTATATATACAAGAACATTAGAGGTGATGGCACCTTTCATGAACCAATCACTGTGCATAAT